AATAATAATAATAATAATAATAATAATAATAATAATAATAATAATAATAATAATAATAATAATAATAATAATAAAACAAAAAACTTATTATTAAAGTATCATCAAGAATTATTAAAAGTTAAAGAAAATGAAATAAAAGAATTAAAAAAAAAATGACTAATGGAGAATTAAATTTATTGGAATTAATTTTAGAAAAAGAAAGAAATCTAGGAATGTTTATTAAAGAATATGAAGATAGTTTAGTATAAATTTATTTTGTTTATTAAATATAGTTTGTTAAATTAATATTAAATTAATTTCTATTTTAATAAATAATTTATAATTTATTTCTAATAAATAAAAATATATTTTTTAAAAAAATTTAAAATTAAAATTACTATTACCACCACATGTTGTATCTGTGAAAAAAATAAAAAGCTTCAAGAAAAATGTAAAAATGCTATTAAGAAATATAACAAACTCTTACTTCTTGATCAAAATATTGCTAAATTACAAAAAGAACTTGATAAAACAATTGAAAAACATAACAATTTAATCACAAAAATTATTGCTTTAGCTGTTAATTGTAAAAAAGTAATTTTTCTTCTTATTAGCTTATTTGTTTATTTAATTTGTTGTTTATTTATTTATTTTATATTTTATTTTAATATATATATTAAGAATTAAATACAGAATATAATTTTAAATATATAATTATTATAATTAATTTTTACTTATTTTTATTATATTTTTAATATCATTAACTATTAAATAAATTTACGTTTATTTATTTATTATATCATATGATTTTGTTTTTTTGTTTAACCAAAGATCATCATACATTTATATATTTTTAATAAAGATCATCTTTTTTAACAATAATATAACAAATGCCCACTTTTCTAAAAAAGTTTTTTTTTTTTTACAATCGAACGAAACTTAAAAGTTAGTAGTGTTTTTATTTATTTATTATCCCTTAAACCATCCAGTTTTAGTAAGCAAATTTGTCTGCTTAAATTTTATAAATTCATATCTGATCTATTTTTTTAAAATATAAAAATATTTTATAATTTTT